GGGGGGGGGGGGGGGGGTGGGCAGTTTACTTGGCATCTGAAGATACATTTCCTCAAATGCATTTTTAATCTGAGAAGAGCTTCATTGAGTGACAACTAATGTTGAGAGCTCAGCAGAGAGTTTAAGTTTCACTTTCACTTTCACCCGAGACCCTGCAGGAGTCATGGGCGGGGTGTGTGGGGAGGGGGGAGTGTGGGGGGGGCCCTCCATGAGGAAGCTCGGCTTAAAGACACGTCCCAGGGGCGTTTCTGGTCCCCACCTGTCGTTTTGCTCCTCAGCAAAATGCTGCAGGTGCAGGATTTCTCAAACATGCATGAATGAGTCAAAGTAAGGCTTTGGGCATGTTTTTTATGAAAGTATAACATTATAACATGATATAAAACTAAAAAAAAGTTGATTTTACATGATATTGCCCCTTTAAAACAATCCATCATTGGTTTGTTTGCTCGTCTGCTGTCCAAGTATTCATGTGTTCAATTATGAATACAACCAGAGGAAAATCAGTGAGCCCTGTTGGAACCTTTTGGTCCAAATGCACTTAATGTTGTCCCTTTTTGAGCCACATCCTTAGCATCTGTGATAAAATATACATAAATGACACACAAGACACTCAGAAAAACAAAAAAAGATTGCAACCACTCCAGTTATTATTTCAGATTAATTTATAAAATATTCCACTAGAGACACTGTTCATTTTTCTACAACACAATGCTTGTGCGGTTCACACACAAATAAGCCCTCTAAGGTTTCAACAGCCTGACCGTGAAATGAAATGACTAGTGAAAACTTTGGCATAGTTGAGGGACGAGACTGTTGGTGGGAAAAAAGACAAATGTGAGCGAGAAAAATGCGAGACTCTGGAGGGCCTCGTTTGAACAGTTTACAAACAGTCAAGATGGAAATAAGTTTAACCTTCTATAAATAAGTAGAAAGGAAAACAGCAAGGTGCCAGTTATCATTAAAAACATGTTTCCTACTATTCTGCACATTCAGCTGAGTGTGACAAAACCACAGAACTACACTCTGATGTATCATTACATGTGTAAGGTTTACATGTCACAAATATGCACAGAATATATTGTTGATATTTTACATGAATATCACTGCTGATTTTAGTACAACTGTTTCACTGATCTCACATCAGCCACAAGTGTTTACAATATGTTAGAAGGCGATACTTTCAGGCAGACTCTGGCGAATAACAGTTTAAGCCATTGAAAAAAGAAATCACTCCAGCTTATCTTACAAATAATATTCCTCGTTTGAGAGAGTTCCAGCCACATGTCGCACAGCTCATGTTTTAATATCTAAAGCCATTTTGAATATGTATTGCTGCCCAGATCTGGTCCCGAGGAGACAGATAAAGAGACGCAGGATGACTGGATTTTCAGCAAGCGTTGCAGAGGAAAGACAACGAGCTGCTGGAAGTTTACTTGGCCTGGAGAAATAGTGGGAGTAATGCAGTTTAGATAATGACTGGACACATTATTTGAACATTCTTTTCACTTAAGTTATATAAATATTATTTGAAAAGTCAGCAGAAACTTACATTTGACTACAAGTTTGTCTCAACTTTTGATGGAGTCCATCACTGCACAT